CATGGATGACAGCTTGCAATCCTGTGTGAAGATCAAAGTCACGTCTTACAGCCCTGATATATATAAGATCTGCAGTGATGTTCAACAACAAAAATCACATTAATCAGGTGAGAAAGCTATATCATTTAATATGCTATTATTTTGCGAATATATATTTGTATATTTTACCCTGAACTAATGTAGTTATGTTTTATGTTCAGGCTCGTTGGTTGATGCTGTACCTGACTGAGAAAAAAGATGACGACGGCACACTGAAATGAACTTCAGTCATAATGAAACATAAACTGGGAAATTTTTATGTTAATACGTTAATTAATAAGTTAATTAATAAACAGCAGCTATATGTTTTTTTTATTATTTGTAAAGTGAGCTGCTCTTTATTTAATTTTCTACAAATAAGGGAAGGACTCAATCAGCCCTGCATTATTTATTTTGTTTGAAAGTAACCCTACACACATGCCAGTGTTTTTGTTTTACTAATGTTCGTAAGAGTTTGTTGTTTTCCTTTGTCTCAAACAGCAATAAAATGTCAATAGTTTTCTTTTTGTAGTTCTATGGTTTCATTAATGCAACAAACTATAGTTCTTTTATATATAGCAGGGATATAAAACTTATATGCTGTGTTATCTTTATTTTGTGGATCAAATAGGTTTTGTGGCTCCACGTGAATTTTTTTGGTCAGATAGGGGCCAAAATGGCTCTTTTGAGGTTGAAGGTTGCAGACCCCTGATCTAGAGTATAGTCAAATTTGTGATTCTCCTTTATCAATTGATGAAATCAAGCAAGCTCTACATAAAATGAAAAAAGGTAAATCCCCTGGGATCGATGATGGGCTTTCCGTAGAATTTTATCTCCATTTTTGGGAGTTTATTAAATTACCATTATTTCATATGTATAATGAATGCATCAGTCGGGGAGATATGACTGCTACTATGAAACAGGGAGTCATCTCTCTTATACCCAAGCAAGACAAGGATCCTTTAATAATCGATAATTGGCGACCTATTACTTTGTTAACATTAGACTATAAAATATTAGCCTCTGTATATGCTAAAAGATTAAGTTATGGTTTAGATAATATTATTTCAGAATCTCAATCTGGTTTCATGAAAGGCCGTCACATTTCTAACAACATAAGATTAGTACTGGACTTGCTGGATTATTCAGATCTAATTTATTCAGATGGTCTCATACTCTTTCTTGACTTTCATAAAGCTTTCGACTCCATAGAACACAAATTTCTTTTTCGTACTCTAGAATTATTTGGATTTGGTAAAGCATTTATAGAGCCTATAACCATGTTTTATAGAAGTATTAACAGCTCAGTGATTGTGAACTTTGACACTTCTAAGAGGTTTAACATATATTGTGGAGTCAGACAGGTGTAACGAATCAGTCCACTGAAGGCGGGAGTGAAGAACCCATGTGCAGTTTATTTACAGACGTGATCCAAACATCCAAACATAAACCCCTCGCACCGTAGAAACAACATGGGGAGGGGAGTGGGTGGGAACTAGGGAGGAGGCTCAGGAGGAGGACGGATGCCCGGGAGGGGGCCGGCAGACAGAGTCCAGGGAGGAGACGACGGAGGGAGGAGCCAGGGAGGAGACAGGCAGGGCTTGGAGCAGGAGGAGTCCAGCAGAACCCAGGCCACAGCCATGACGTTGACCCACGGTGGAGCTGACGGAGGAAGGAGCCATGGAGGAGGAATGGCCGCCGACTCCAGGGGGCCGACCAACGGCGGCGGAGCAGGTGGTGGAGGAGCCCGAGGCGGAGACGGAGACGGAGAGCCGATGAGCCAGGGTGAAAAGATGCCTTACAAATCCAATGTCACTGTGGTTTTTTATTCCAAATAAGATATTTGACCAAGTTGGTGGCCTGTCTTTCTTACTAAAATGTAATTTTTTGCCTGGCAAGTTACCTATTTCCTTATCTAACTTCCATCAGCAATGTCTTCTTTCGTGGAAATTGTGTTTTATCCATGGTTTCTCCCCCCACAAAGTTCTCCTTTGGAATAATGCTGATATAACTGTTAGAAATAAGTCTATTTTTTCCCTAGATGGTTTAATAACAACTTGAACTGTATTCTATCTGTGTTTGAGTATTTGATTGATATTTTAACTTACGAACAATTTATGAATCTCCATAATTTTCCAGTCCCACCAAAGGAATATAATACTTTGATGAGAGCCATCCCAGTAGGATTAACCCAGTTAATTAAAAGTCACCTTAAATTCAGTAAAGGCAACAGTGTTTATCTGGCTTTATGTTTGGGTGGTATCGGTATTTTAGATCGGAAATGCAATAACAGACATATCCGCAAAATATTTCAGACAAAGGGAAAGATTACTCCAAGAGGGAAATTCTATTGGGGTTCCTATATAACAAATATAAATTGGAGAAAGGCCTGGCTTTTGCCAAGTAAATTTTGCATTTCTAACAAGGTTAAGGAGATTCATTATAAAATATTTCAAAAATGTTATCCCGTTAATTTGTCTATTTCTAAATATTCTAATGTTGATGAGTCTTGCTCGTTTTGTGGTTTTGTTGAGGAAACAGCTGCCCATTTGTTTTTTGATTGTGGTGTTACCAACAAATTATGGGTTGACTTAAGCACCTATGTTTCTAACCTTACAAATGTGACCCATACCTTCGTCCTCAAAGATATTATTTTTTATTATGAAAATCCAAAGCTATTATCTGTTGAATATGTTGTTAATTTTCTTATATTGAATGCAAACTTCTTCATTCATAAGCAAAAATGGGTTAAATCTCCTTTGTCTTTCCCCCTTTTTCATGTTGAATTGGACTCTCGTTTCATCTCTTAGACTTACAAATAACAAAAAGAGTGCCAAATTTTTGATGTATTATGACAAATTTTCTAAAAGAATGTAAGTTTATTTTTAATACTAAATTAATACTATAATTTGACATAAGCAAATCCAGAATATTTGTTTTTCTGTTCTTATTTTTATGATTGTTTTTTGTTGGAATATATTCATGCCTCGCTTCCCTGTTTCTGTATGTTTCTACAAGTTTTGTGATAAAAAAAATAAAAAACGCAGTGGAAATGCACCATTAGATTGTTGATCACTTCACATTCGTTTACATGGACAACAATACTCCGATTTTACCGTCGTGTACTTTTCGCCGCATTTTGCGACAGGATACACACAAGGCAGTGGTCAACCATTTGACGGCAAACAAAAGAATGGCTTCAACAACGCCGTCATCTGTTTGCACGTATAGCATAGCAAATAATTAGCTGCACTTGAATCTTTCAGTAAATTTACATTTACACATAATGAAGACGAACTATATGTTTATATGTGAAATTCTGGAGGGGACGTCGAGTGGCATCGCGTGGTGACGTAATGACATGTGCCATTAATCGATCTATGTACTATAACATGTAAAATGGGAACATTAAAGGAATATTCTAAAAGCAACTCATGTAAACACCTTAATCGTAATATTGTTTTATTCAGAATAAGGTAAATAATTAGATTACTGATGTCCATGTAAACGTAGTCAGTGTCCCATATGCTGCCTCTTTGCTATCCAAGAGAAGTGTTGTCCTGTGATGTGAGAAAAGAGGGACACTGACCTGTTGAAGGTGGAGGTGACTCTCAGAGGGGGTAATATAAATTGGAGTATTCTAAACTAGGATTTATAGGATTATATATACAGCGGGTAAAATAAGTATTGAACACGTCACAATTTTTCTCAGTAAATATATTTCTAAAGGTGCTGTTGACTTGAAATTTTCACCAGATGTCGGTAACAACCCAAGTAATCCATACATACAAATAAAACAAAACAAACAAGTTCGGAAATTAAGTTATGTGTAGAAAAAGGATTGAACACATGAAAAAAGTGTAGAGAAGCCGTCCTTCGGATGAGATGTTAAACCGAGGTCCTGACTCTCTGTGGTCATTAAAAATCCCATGGCACTTCTCGTAAAGATTAGGGGTGTAACCCTGGTGGCCTGGCCAAATTGCCACCACTGGCCCTTGTCTATCATGGCCTCCTAATAATCCCCATTCAGTTGATTGGCTCTATGACTCTCTCTCCTCTCCACCTGTAGCTGGTGTGTGGTGAGCGCACTGGTGCCGTTGTCATGTGGCTGACGTCGCATCCTCCAGGTGGATGCTGCACACTGGTGGTGGTAAAGGAGAGACCCCCCCACATGATTGTAAAGCGCTTTGGGTGTACAGCAATACACAATAAAGCGCTATATAAATGCATCATTCATTCATTCATTCAAGAAAGGGAGGTTCAAAAAGGCATGGAAAGCCAAGGCACCAACTGAAATCTACCAGTAATTAGAAAGCAATCCTGCCCCTAGTCAGTGGAAATTAATATTAGCTGGTTCAGTCCCAACACCTACAGGACCAGGATGATGAAGATGAAACAAGGTTGGACATTAGGCGTCTTGAAGCTGTCATTACCAACAAAGGCTTTTGTACAAAGCATTAAATACATTTCAGTAGTTCAATACTTATACTCTGTGTCATTCCATTTTATTTCACATAACTTAATTTCTGAAATATTTGTTTTGTTTTATTTGTATGTATGGATTACTTGGGTTATTACCGACATCTGGTGAAAATTTCATGTTAACAGCACCTTTAGAAATATATTTATTTAGAAAAATGGTGACGTGTTCAATACTTATTTTACCCACTGTATATATATATATATATATATATACACACACACACACAATTTGATTATATAACTGTGTTAATTCTGATAATTCAGTTATATTTTACTAAAATTATTTTATAAATTGTTTCAGTAGACAACATTTTGCCTGCATATACATGGTCATATTCATACTTTAATTATAAGTTCACAAGCAACATCAGCATAATCCAGCTCTAGAAAGAGCTAAAGTGCTTCATTCAGATACTATTTAAATTTGTTTTGTTTTTATTTACAATGCAATTTTACTTTTACAGGTAAAGAGAAAAAAAATATATTTTGTGGATATGTTCACTTTTTGCAGTCCTAAAAAATAAACAAATTCAGAAGGAACAAATGACATTATGCCCCTACATCTATGTTTTTCCAAATTATGAAAATGAATTCATTCATTGCTATTAATCGATGAGATAATCAAAGGGGCTGAATTTGTACCTTTTTCATTACGACATGGGCTGAATAAAGGATACAGTTTCTCAGTGAAAGACTGACCAGTGAAGGAGTAGATATGAGATTTGGACTCCACATTATAGAAGGAGACCAGACCCTCCTCATAATCCACAAACACCCCCACCTTCTGTGGTTTCACTCTCAGAGACAGTAGGACATAGGAATCAGTACAAGCCCAATATTCATTCTCATTCCACAGACCCAAAACCCAGAATCCATCCTGAGGACTCACAGTGACCTTTCCCTTCCTGTTAATAGATTCTTTGGCCACTCCTAAATCCCACTTAGTCTTTTCATTCACCTGCACCTCAAAATAAAATCTCCCTGAGGAGAATCCATCTTTTCCCAGGACACAGGTGCAGTGATCAAACCTCTTTTGGTTGTTTGGGAGCTTTTGTTTAATATCTCCGTGTATCACTTGTTTCCCATCATCAGACAGGATGAGATATGGATGAGCTGTATCAGGATCCAGAGTCACATCCACTGAGAGAGAGATCAGAGAATATGAATCACATCTTCACAATACATACAGTATATCTTCATGTGCTTAATATTTAATATTCAGTATGCATTGAAGTATTGTATGTGAATGTTTGTGTAATTTTTACTGTGTGAGAGAACAGATCACTCATTCTACCTGCATACTGCTGCATCCTCATCAACACTGTGAAGACAAATAATAATAATAATAATATATGATGAAGAGATCTTAACATTCATGTATTACAGGAGCTGTGTTTCATTGACATCTATTTCACTGACACTACACTGTTAAACAAATATACATGTCACACGCGCGCGCACACACACACATTGTGTTTACGTGTTTTATGGGGACATTCCATAAACAATGATTTTTGTACTGTACAAACGGTATTTTCTATGCCTTTACCCTAAACCTGCCCCTCACAGAAAACGTTCTGCTATTTTAGATTTTCAAAAAGATCATTCTGGGGTGCGTTTCCCATACAACGACGTAACTCGCTGATTAACCACCATAGTACGATGCATTGTTGTTGAAACTAACTAGCTAGTTACGACTGTTTCCCGAACACGGTCGCATCTCCGTCGTTTGAACCACATTAGTTCAACAACATAGAGCCATTGTTAATGACATAACACGCATGTGGTGGAGGAATAACTTATGCTATTTAACCGATTAGACATATGATGTTTCATTAACAAGGTTCAGGAGGAGCACGATCAGATAATCAATCAGTCTGGCCCAGGTGGAGCTCTTCTTCTTCTTCTTTCTTTTACTGGCAACCGCACTTAACAGTGTATTACTGCCATCATCAGGTAGCTTGGATCAGAAACATTTCCTCTATCTCTTAACCAGGTGGAGCTCGTCAGCTAATCACCTTAACAAGCACAATACGTATATATACAGCCAACTTACCTCTGTTCCATGACAGTTTTCCAGCATTAGGTTTTGCTCCTTTGGCCATTATATCACAGACTCAACTTTTTCCGTACTACGACGAGACCTGTACTGAAGATTTTTCGTATCCTGTCGCAATCTGCCGGCCCGTACCTCGCTGATTAACCGCCATAGTACGATGCATTGTTGTTGAAACTAACTAGCTAGTTACGACTGTTTCCCGAACACGGTCGCATCTCCGTCGTTTGAACCACATTAGTTCAACAACATAGAGCCATTGTTAATGACATAACACGCATGTGGTGGAGGAATAACTTATGCTATTTAACCGATTAGACATATGATGTTTCATTAACAAGGTTCAGGAGGAGCACGATCAGATAATCAATCAGTCTGGCCCAGGTGGAGCTCTTCTTCTTCTTCTTTCTTTTACTGGCAACCGCACTTAACAGTGTATTACTGCCATCATCAGGTAGCTTGGATCAGAAACATTTCCTCTATCTCTTAACCAGGTGGAGCTCGTCAGCTAATCACCTTAACAAGCACAATACGTATATATACAGCCAACTTACCTCTGTTCCATGACAGTTTTCCAGCATTAGGTTTTGCTCCTTTGGCCATTATATCACAGACTCAACTTTTTCCGTACTACGACGAGACCTGTACTGAAGATTTTTCGTATCCTGTCGCAATCTGCCGGCCCTAGGTTCACTCCTTTTCCGCCAGTCACCGCCGCCGAGCACCAGGCTTCATCACGGCCGCTGCTCTGCTCAACCAGCCACACGCTCTCCACAACGCCGAGGCTTAACCTCGCCTCCACCGGCGAGACTTCCAACTTCTTCCCCGACATCCTCGTATCATTCGGCCATGCCAATATATCCTCCGATCGGAAAGTCGATAGTATGTAAGCCTGAAGCAAACGCTGATTTATTCCAACGAACCATTCTCACGGAGGGTAAACAAAGCTGATCTATTCTTCACCCTGCAAATTAGCCAAGGCAGCTAATAGATCGAGCAAAGCCTCGAACTCGCCTCGCTCGACACCACCATCGTCCCGTACAAGACCCGGCTCTTCTCGAGCTTTGGGTCGCAGCGGCAGGCCTCAAACGAGCCTGGGCCGCGCCCCAGTTCTCACCGCTGCAAAACCTCATTCGCTTCCTGCTTCGGCTCAACTTTTCACTGCGCCACATGTAGCCGGGCCTCCAGCTCTAGTAGCAGTCGCTAGCGCGAGGCTGCCTCCGCTAGCGGCGAGGCCGTGTTGCAATTAAATTTTTAGGTAAAGTCGCTAAAGGTAGGTCGTTTGTTGTTAAGTTGTTAATCCTCCTATGGTTCTCATTTCCTGTTTACACTAATGGTATTTGGGGTCAATATGACCCCAAAATTAAGAGTAATTGTAAAAAATATATAAATTTTTAATCATACAAATAATATATAATTTTTGTTTACTTCTCATCTATACATTTAGAGCTGTGTTTTGGGAGATATGAAGTACTTTTGTACCTATTTACCACAAAAATCCTCAACCACACCATTAGCTTGCATGTTAAATATTACATTTTCATGAAAAAATCACTTAAATTATGATCTAAATTTGATTTAAGTTGTTTCTGGATATTGATCTAGGTGTTCGGTGTAGAATTATGCCATCTGCTGGTTAGAGAAAAACTTGTAGAAATTAACAGTTTTTGAAAAAAAGGTGTAATGACCATATATATCCAGCAGAGGCCCATAGAATTTAATAATTAATAATTGATAATAATTTAATTTTATAATTTATGCATTTAGCAGACGCTTTTATCTTTTATCCAAAGCAACTTATAGTGCATTCAGGCTATACATTTATTTATTTTTTTTTACCAGTATGTGTGTTCCCTGGTAATCGAACCTGGTTCTGGAAGTGGTTAACTGCTACTCTCACAACTTTTCTGATATATATTTTGTAAATATTACTGAAACATTAAAAACAGTATTTTTCTCAAAGGTTAGAATTAGTTTTTGTTGTTTGAGGTATTTTGAAGTGCCCGCTTTTGCAATAATGCCACATAAATTTGCAGAAATGCCACACAAGTTGTCACTTTTTTTCATAAAATATTGTCACTTTTTTCAATCTAAAAAGTAAAATCAAAACAATTATTTCTTAAATGTAAAAACCACACACAATCCCCACCCCAA